TGGGCTTCCTCTGAAGAGTTTCAAGAGGGCTGAGACCTGCAGTAAAGCTGCTGCAGAGATGGGCTGCTCATATTTGGGAAATAATAATTAAAATGATAACAATGACAATAGCAGTTTCATTAAAATAAGGCCAAGCACTCATTATTAAAATGAGGCTCACTGTAGATCAAATCTCAGTTAATCCTTGCTGCTATTACTTAGCTTGGCGCATCATCCCCCATGATGTGAATGAGGAAATGGTAGCTCAGGGAGGTTAGGCAATCTGCCTGCAGATATCCAGCAGAGTGTGGAAAAGCATGCCTGGGGACAGTGTCTGCATAACTCCAGAGTCAGTCTACCCTCAGCCTCTGCTACTTGAGGGAGGAAGCTGGTGTCCAGATCAGGCACAGCTTTCCCAGGATACCCACTGTGTGGGACAGGCCAGGCATTAGCATTCACACCCTGGGCTTTCAGGTCTCTGGTATCCCAGGACAGCCTGTTGATTCTCAGCCACCTTCCTCATTGGGCTAGTTGGAGGACTAAAGAAAAGCTTAAGTAATGGCACCTACCATGAAAAGTGGCCCACAGATGTTTTCTACTAATTCTAAGAGCTTTACAGGTATTTATTATTTCTCATAAGTCTATGAGGTAGAAACTATTCCCCCATTTATAGATGATAAAACTGAGGCCCAGGCAGGGTGAATAATTATCCCAAGTTCATACAGAGAGTAAATCAAGCTCTACACCGAACGACCCCAGGCTTCTTGTTTCTATGCCTGTTGTCTCCATCTCCCTGACTCTGGCTCCTGCAGATTCTGGAGGCTGACTCTAACTCCAAGTTCACTCATGGGTCTAGCACTCAGGCTGGACCCATGTGCAGAGCATGGACCTCATAGGGTCTGTTTTTGCCTACATTCCAAAGGGCCTTGAAACCAGCAAGCCAAGCTCCTGCAATCACCCAGCCTCTGGCAGGGATATGAGCATGCAGTGTTTAGTCTATTGTTTGTTCCCAGCAAGTCTGGATTTCAAGCTCCTTTACCAGAGAGTTATAACTTAGGAATCCAGAACAAACGGCTTTTCCAAAGCACTCCTGGTCATGTTGTCTTAGGGATTTACACTAAGATGTTTTGTCACATTACCTGTCCCATCTGGGGCAACCAAAACTGTCTATTGTCACGGCACTGGGGATTATAAGCGGGCTACTCTGAGGGACTATGTGTGCATAAGTGTAAGTACTACATTCTCCCTCCCCAAATATGCAGGGTCTTTAGAACTCTTCACCGTGACTGCTGAACATTCTAAACTATTCACCACAGTTACAATCATTCTAAATTTTGACAAGGCAGTGGGAGGTATGGAATAGTGAAGTTTAGTATCTGACTGCTGACACTAGGCAAATAAATCCTAGCTCCTTCACTTACTAGATGTGTGACCTCACACAAGTAACCTTTCTTCCAGAAGGGTAAGACCCACATCATCACTGGGAAGGTGAAAATAATCGCAGTAATATCATTATATGCACAGCAGCTGTAACGGTGACTGAGTGACTGCATGCAAAATACTTAGGTACCTGGTAAAAGCTTAGTACTGATTGTGATGAGGAGCTAATACCCCACGAGTCTTCTGGGGATTTAATAATTTGGGTAAAAGTGATTAGTACAATGCTTGACACAGAATAAATCCTCCATAAATGCTTGTTATTAATAGCTTTGCTGTTGTCATTGATGTGATCATTATTGAACCTGTAGGTTTTACCTTTCTTCCCTCATTCACAAACTAGAAGTGCCACCTCTGTCATTGATTGCTCTCCCCACTGGAATGAGTCAGACAGCATCCCACACCAGGAAGTTCACAGATCATAGGGGAAAACTATTGAAGAGCAGAAAATTTTAGCTGCCTTTACAGAAAGAAAAGATGTACAGGGGTCAGTCAGAGGGGGGCTGGTGGAAGCAGTATCTTCTGGACTGGGATGAGAGCAGGACAAACTCAGTGAAGGGTCTGAGCTGAGGCTTGAAGGAAGTGTGGGCATCCACTGGAGACAGGATAAAGGGAGGCTCACTTCAGCCCAGCAGCCTTGAGATGGAGGGCAGCAAGCACTGAACTTGGAAAACAGTGTGCCCAGACTGGTTTGTATTAGAGGGACATTCAACCAGAATGCAAGCACCATGACAGTAGTCGCTACATATGCCTCATTTTCTCTGCATCCCCCTGTCCAGCAGAGGGCCAAGGCTGACCCACAGGCTGGGACATCTATGTGAACCAGAGTTCTTGTGATGTTTGTATCTGAGATGATTCACTTTCTATGTCAACTTGATTAGGCTGTGGGATGAAACACTATTTGGAGTGTATCTGTGAGGATGTTTCTGGGTGGTATTAGAATTTGACTGAGTGGACCCCCTCCAAGTGTGAGATGGTTACAGCTAATGCACTGAGTATATGGACAGAGCAAAAGACAAAGGGAGCTGGGACACTTCATCTCTTCTGCTTCTCATTGGGGTTCACACTACACTAATGCTGTCCTGGTTCCAGTCTGTATCAGTCAGGGTTTTACTACAGAAAGAGATCTAACACAAGATATACAAATGTATAAGAAATTACAAGATTGGCTTACAATGGCCACCCACAGATTTGGATGAGGAAGCATGTAGAGGGTGTCTGCACGCTGGAGACTGAAAGTTTCAGTCCAAGATCTGAAGTTCACTGCAGTGTCCCATGCAAGTCCATATCAGGAGGCCAATGGGTCTACAATGAAAGGCTGAAGAGTCTATACCAGAAGGCTGAAGGATCTGAGGTGGAAGCTGAAAAGTGTGTGCTAGAAGCCATGAGATGAAGCTCATAATGAAGACTGGAGCTCCTGCAAAGAACAGAAGCAAGCCTGTCCTTCCTCATTTTCCCTTTATACTGTCCAGGTGACAGCTGCTCTAGGGTGGGTCCTCTACACCCTGAAAGTAGCTTCTAAACTTCTAAAGTTAACACAACCAATCAACCATTACACACGCCTTTAGACTCAGACTGAACTGTACTCATGTGTCTCCTGAGCCTCCTGCTCACAGATGACAGACTGTGGAACTTTCCAGTCTCTATATCATCATATGAGTCAATTCCTCACATTATAGACATATATAAAATATAGGCTAGATTGCTCATTATATGTGTATATGTAAAAGATAACTTACATGATACTATGTGTAATATACGTAACATTGTATATAGTTTCCTACTCATTCTGTTTCTCTGGAGCGCTCTGAGTGCAGATAACAAATACATAGGACTTCCAGCTGGTGACACAGGAAGCGTGGGGAAAAAGTGGGCGTTAGGGTAGAGACAAAGGGCCTTGAGGGGTGATGGCTTCTCAGCCTAGAGGGGCAGCCCGGCAAAGACCCGAAGAGCGGCACCCAGACCACAAAGCCAGTTAACACCAGTGTCCTGAGGTGGGGACAGAAGTGGTTTGTGGAGGAGAAGCAGTCTACCATGATAGAAAACAGAGGGGAAGGAGCAAGGTAGGAAACAGGACTGGAGGGGATGTGGCCCCATCACCCACATCAGCCAGTGTCCCCCAGGGAGAATGGACCTCTCTGCTCTTGTCATAGCTTGGCCACCCATGGGCCCTTTGGAAATAGGGCGCCAGGCCTGTGACACAGATGAACATGGCAATCTCCACACTGCACTCTAAAAACAGAAAAATAAAAAGAGATTTTTTTCCTCCACGTTTTTATTTGGAAAAATTTTAAATCTACAGGATAGTTGCAAGAACAGTACTATTTGCTTATGTCTCTCAAGCAGTCATACTAAATGAGATATACTGTATATATCCCATCCATTTAAAATTTTTGCTGAACCATTTGAATATTAATTATAGATATTGATATTTTGCCCACAGCATGCATCTCCTAACAACAAAGAAGGAAGCCTTCTCCATGTCAATGCCCTGAGAGTTCACCCCCAAACAATACCATATACTATAATCTGATATACAGACCCTACTCAGTTTCCCCAGCTGTCCCCAAGCTGCCCTTTGTAACTTGTGTTAGCTGAAGGTCAAATCAAGGATCGTGCATTTTAGCTATTATTTTTTGTCTCCTTTCATCTTGAAGAGTCCCCTACGGTATTTTGATTGGACTGAGCTGAGTCTGTGTCGATGTGCGTGATGCATACGCGATGCTGCTTCTTCCCTGAGCCCACACTCAGGGCCCAGGGTGCCCTCTGGCTGAGACATTTGTTTGGTTTGATTAAGAAGTGCCCGCCACACTGCCACTGTGGATCCGTCCCCTTTGTGACTCAGAAGGAATCCAGGGAGTGGCTTTTCGAGACTATGTGGATATTCTGTTCCCAGCATGTTTTATCCACCATGGATTTAGCATCCATTGATAATTCTTGCTGGAATCTAGCACTGCAAGAATTGTAAAATGGTGCTTTTCTATTCACAGCCTCAGTGCTACATCTCTTGATTAATATTCTTTAGTTGGAAGCTGTTCTTCAGTACCCACCTCCAGGACATGGTCACTCTGGCATTCTTGGAGCTGGAATTATAATGTTCAAAATTCAAATTCCATTCAAATTCAAACTTCATGTGGTCCAGCTTAGGGGCAGGTGATGCATCTCAATTGACAGTTCTACTAAGGCTGGGCAAAGGGATCATTCCACAAAGGGAATTTGAGGTGCAGGCATTAAGATCAGGAAAAATAGAAGCCAGGCAGGTAGAAGCAACCACTGTCCTTGTAGGAAGAAGCTGACAGTGATAGAACTTTTTCTATCACTGTATGAGACAACTTGGTTTAAAACAAACAGCAGCTGATAAATGGTGGTGGAGAACAATCTTACCCAAAATATCAGAACGCTGTCCAGGTAGGCTTGGAGCTCGTATCATTCTTTTATCCTGTGCTTTACTGTATTTGGCCCTACCTGCAGAGTTAACTCATCCCCAGGAGCTCCTGCAGCTCTAGTTTTCACCCCTATTTTCCAACCAAAGGCATGATGAATCAGAAGTCACACTGATGCCCAGTCATGTTATTTCCTTGCAGTTTGATGGAGCACTTCTGCTTACTCTACTGGGTAGAACTGGCTGTGATAGTTGCAGTGAACACTGAGGAATTTGCTCAGCTATGGCGGGGATTCTGTTACTGCAGAGGAAGGAGAAAACTGACTGGGAACGATGAGCAGTCTCTTCTACAAACTCCACAAAGGACGCACAAGTAAGCTCATGTTGGAGAAGAAAAAGCTCAGTGAAGTGAACACCCTGGAAGAGTCACACAGACAGTAGATTACTGTGTCTGTTTATTTAAAAAAACACTGTACTAGACAGACCCCAATCTTGTCTCTTTCCATCCACATGGTACTATATTAGTATAGTTTTGTTAAATTTCCCTCTTTGTGGGTTGAGTTGAAGGCTTCTGGCATAATGGATTGGTGCTATTAGGTCCTTCTTAGAAAGGTGCTATTCCCCTCTGGCCAGTGTATTCTAGATGACCAGCATGGACAGCTGGAACCCTAGTACCTGCATGGCAGTGACTAGAAATGCAGATGAAAATACAACAGCAGTGGGTCTGTGCTGGAAAGGACCTCAGCTCCAGAGCCTGGATTCCATGTTTCCAGTCCCAGCCCACTAACTGTATGACCCAGGTCCCATGATGACCAAACTGTGAATACAGTATTGAAATCTTTCACTTTCCTATGCTGAGCAATTTTAGCATATGATGAATTTCAGGGTCTGCCTTTACATTTTCCTTTTGTAAAATCTCACATGATTAATGCCAAACAGTCACCAACCAGAAAGTCTAGGACAGTAGGAGTCATGTTTAATATTCTCACTATTGTACCCCAGTAACTGGCTCAGTCCTGGTACAGAGTAAGCTCTATCCTATTGATGGACTTGCTGACTAACCTAGACAGTGTCCTCCCTAGGCATCTGAGCAAATTATTCTTCCCTACTCTCTCCCAAAGAGCAAGCAGGATTGTAAAGAAAAGGAATGAGGAAAATAGGGTTTACACAGCACTTATTTTGCAATTTACCTCATTTATTTTTCATAACAATTATTGAAGAAAGACATTATAATACTGTTTTTAATGGCTGAAAAATATGAGATTTAGAAAGATGAAGTAAATTGTTTAAGATCACATAATTCTCAACTAGAGAATATTTAAAAAAACATTTGAAGAAAACTATGAAATGCACTAAAAAGATGCAAAGATAGACTTAAACAAATGGAAAAGCATATCTATTCTTGGTTCAGATATCTCAACATTTCCAAGATGTCAATTTACCTTAAGCTAATTTATTAATTTATTTTTAAAAATATGTATTTAAAATAAATCAAATTGGGAAAATATTTATCATTGATAAAAGGCTAGTATTTCTAATATATAAAGAACTTTTAGACTTCAAGGAAAAACATAATTGTATATAAAATCATGAACAGACACAAAAGAGATGTATCTATCTATCTATCATATATCTATCTAATCTATCTATAGAGCGAGAGCCCACCAAAAATGTATACATTAGGAAAAGAAGAACTTGTATATATATTTTTATACTAAATTTATTGAGACATCATGAGACTAATACAGGTTATCATTGGCCTCCACAATTACAAGAGGTACTTCAAGTGTAGCCATGGGCTTCCAGACATTTATGAGTACTGAGAACTGCTGAAGTGTGTATACATTTTTGAGAGAGTATATATATATATATATATATATATATATATATATATATATGAGATATATATATATAATTTCTCATATATATATATATGAGAAATACTGAGGCAGAGAGCCTCTAAGACTGTCCACCTTGGTCCCCACCTCCTGGTATTCATGCCCTTGTGTGTCACACTACACTTAAGTGTGATCTGGATCTAGCAACTTGCTTTTAATGAAGAAGATATTGCGAAAGTGATGAGAGTGCCTTGTTATGGACCATTTCAGAACTCAGTGGCATACACTGCAATGTAAAATTCTCCTTGATCCTGTGAGTGAACTGGGCTCAGCTGAGTGGTTCTTCTTAGCCGTGGGATATAGAGTGAGACCACTTAGCAGAGCATGTCTAACTAGGCAGTCCACTAGCACTGGAGCACACAAGATAGTCTCTCATTCTCCAAAACCACTGGGCACATGGCTGCTCATCACCCAAGAATGTCACCTGAGCTTCTTCACAATATTCATCTTAAACTACTTTATTAATTTTAAAAATGCATAAAACAAGAATTAGAAACATGCACAACACGGGTCTGGACTTGGATGTCCCAGAACATCTCATGCTGTCACACAAAGCAATACACAAGGCCATGCCAAGTTCAAGGGAAGAGGATATAGGCTCCACCTCTTGCCAAGAGGAATAGCAAGTGATTTGTGTCTAGGAGGAACAGCAAATAATCTACCATAATAAGCAAGTGTGAAAAAGAGTGAGGAACACCTCCATGAATGGATATGGAATGACTGCCAGGAACAAAGCCCAATGAAAGAGTGTACATATAGAATGCTATCTTTTGTGTAAAAAAGGAGAACTAAAGTCCACATATCTCTAGTTTCTTACTTGTTTTGTACTTTTGAAAAGAAAAACAGGAATGTCACACAAGGAAATAGTAAAATTGTTTACCTATAAGGTGTGGAAGGAATGGGTAGAGAGGATAAGGGAAGGAGAACATTTTTCTTACTACTTCTTTTTGTATAGTTTTGATTTGAGAAGCTTGTTAATGCTTCACATATTCAAAAAACAAATTCAGCAAAGAAAAACAAAATTCAGCAAAGAAATTCATAATACTGAATATAAACAGAAACAAATGTACCCAGTAATTACTCCAGATACTGAAGGAAAAAAATGTCTTATAAAAGACATTGTTGGTACAATTGAAAAAATATATGTGATGTATATTCTATCATTGTTAAGTTTCCTGAAACTGGGCTGAGATTCTGTACAATACCCTTATGAACTGAGGCATAAAAAGGCTGGTATATGAAGCAATACATATACTCTCAAATGGTTCCAAAAATGATGTATTTTTTGTTACAGAGTAACTCAAAACTTGGTGTAATTTTAAGTTTTCATAGCTTTTGAAGTATAAATGCTACCAGAATATAGTTCCATTTAAGTTTACTTCTATTTCTTCTCCATTTAGTTTTGTGACTTTCAAGTAACTTTATTTTTATTTTTTTCTTTTCTAGTACCAGGAATCAAATTCAGGGACTTGCACATCCCCGGCCCATGAATAACTTTTTTAATTTTAATTTTTTATTTCAGTGAACTATTGTCATCTTCTAACAGAGGGACTGAATAAGAGAGAAAGGAGATAGCAAATATGACAAACTGCTAAAAGTTGGTGAATTTGGCTATGTGGGAGTTTCCTGTTCTTGCAACTTTTCTGTAAGTTTGAATTATTCTGGAATAAAAAAAATATTTTTGGAAAAATATAGCACAGTTGGAAGTGACTGAGACATCTGTGCTTTGTAGCTTGGTTTGTCAGATGTCCAAGCCCAAGTTCACACTACGCCATGACTCTGACTCCACCTGACTCAGTTACTTTCTCGTTGCTGGGACAAAATACTCAACACCCACAAGTTTAAGGAAGAGAGATTTATTTTTGCTCACAATTTCAGTTCCTAGTGGACTGGCTCTGAGCAGGGTGGCATTGCAGGGGAGAAATAGCTCACAGCATCCAGGCAGGAGGCAGAGAGAGTGATAAAGGGAGGAGAGGGGAGAGAGACCCTTCCAGAACACACCCCAGTGACCCACTTCCTCCACCAGCCTTCACCTCCCAACTTCACATTCAGCAATAAACTCAGCAATGGACTAATCCACACTGGTAAGTGTCACACCTACATGATCCAATCACCTCCCCAAAACCCCACCTATGAGTGCATGAATGAGGCTTTAGGGCTTTACAGAAAAGTTGCAAGAACAGGAAACTCCCACATAGCCAAATTCACCAACTTTTAGCAGACACAAGCCTAACACCTTTCACCTCAAATAGGAGGGATGGGTTTGCACTGACCTCAGCTCATCCTCTTGTCATGAGGACCAGGCAGGACCTGAGCACTAGAGACTGGGATTGGGCTGTCTGCCTGTGGTCTTGCAGTGGAGGAAGGGAAGGGTGCTCACCACACTTAACCTCAAGGACTCAGTCTATAATCCACCATGCTAACTTCAGACTTTCCCTCCAGACAGCCGTGTAATAGGCGTTTAAGACGATGAAGGGGATTGCTCTGGAAACTTGTGTAAATAAGTCTTTGAGCAAGAGAAAGATTGCCAACACCTGCATTTTGTTTTCTGGTATTTATTAGAGCCACCCTGTGAGGGACCTCTAAGCTTTCTGGATCTTATTTGCTTATCTGGGTTCATTCTTGGTTCAGCATCAGCATTTTGGGGGGCCTGGAGAGAGCTGTCAAGGATCAGAGGAGGGTCACTGACTGTGTTTTGTGGGGGCTCAGTGAACCCCAACCAGAGGATAACAATCTCGAGGCCAAATCTAGTTATTCACTACACTTTCCCTAATGCATTACTTCTGCTCCCCTCTCCTCCTACCTCTATTAATTCATGTATCCATCCACCCACTCACATCCCAAACCACAACAGGATTTTGCAAGGTGCTGGGAATAAAGTGATGAAGAAGACTGGCTCTCACACTTGGGAAGAGAGAAGGACAGGCAAGTGAGAAAGAAAGAAGCACAGCAGAGTGAATGTAGGGACAGATGCAGGTGTAGAGCCCAGTGGAAGAGAGCTGCCCAACCCAGCCAGAGATAAGTCCAGGAAAATCTTTGGAGCTGAATCTTAAACATGCTGGGTGTTTTAGATGGGATGTGACAGAGGAACACCTAGCAGAGACAAAGCCATCAAAACTCTTACCCCTCAAAAGTGTGGTCCCTTGGTCAGCCGGATGAGATGCCCTAGAACTTCCTAGAAAGCCAGAACTTGAGCCCCACCTCAAACCTTCTGAGTCAGACTTTGTGTGTTCACAAGATCCTCAGGCAATTCCTATGGATGGTAATGTCTGAGAAGCATTGGTCCAAGCTCCATTTCTTAGGGATCTCAGTGGTTGGTAAGCCTCTCACTCCCAGTGCTGAAGGCCACTGGGACTGGGAGAATTAACCCTGGGCTCTCCTCCTGCCCTTGTTTATTGCAGACCCCAGCATCCCTAGCCACCTCAGATTCTGGGAAATGAGAAGTTCTTCCCCCTCGAGGAGTTAGTGAGCCCAGCTTTCTTTTAGTCATTACTGTCTGCACTTTCTGACACAGTACTTCCATGCAGGATATCAGTCCTAGGAAAAACAGTCATTTATATAGAGATGTTAGATGTTTGCAGTAGTGTTGTCTTCAGTCACAGGCAAGCAAAGGAGAAACAACCCAAACATCTATCGGAGGTGAAGGGACAGGGTAGAAGCTGGGTGTTCCCTAAATACTTTTGCAGTCATCAGGTGCCTCTGGGCCCCGGACATGGTGTTGTGGAAAATGTCCTGGCCGGAAGGGACATCTATATTCAGTCCTACCCCTGAGAGGGAGGAGGGGGGAGAGAGACCCTTCCAGACCACACCCTAGTGCCTTACCTCCTCCACTAGGCTTCAGGGAAGCCCATGCCTGCTGAGGACTTCAGGTTGTGCTGTGATCTCTAAAACTGAGCACTCAAACCTTGCTTCTCCAAACTTCCCTCCCTCTGCAATAAGTCTCTGCCCAAGGACCCGAGGGAGGGCAGCGTGGAGAAGGAAACTCAAGCAGAGCTTACAGTAATTACAGGAGGGAGGGAGGGAGAGAGAGAGAAAGAGAGACAGAGAGACAGAGAGAGACAGAGGTAGAGAGAGAGACAGAGAGAGACAGAGAGACAGAGGGAGACAGAGAGAGAACACGCATTGAACTCATGTTCTGTTCAGACTCTGTGATGCTAATAAAAGCTAATGTTTGTTCAATGCTTGCTGTTGCCAGATGCTGTTTTAAGTGTTTTTATATAAATTAACTCACTTAATCCTCACATCAACACTACAAAGTAGGAATTATTATTCTCCTGTTTTCCAGGTAAGGTTCAGAAAATAATTTGTATACAGACACTCTGTTGGAAGCGGTAAGGTGCAGAACCTGTCACATCTGACTGCAGAACTCACACCCACCCACCCTCCATGGTCCTCAGCCTGCAGCCCTGGCATCTGCAGCACCAGGAAATTTGCTCAGAAAATCCAGACTCTCCATCCCAGAAACCAGGGACCAGGCCAGGTCATGGCTGTTTTAGTGAACTCCATCCACTCAGATAATTACGATGCTTGGCAAATTATTAGAACCATTGCTCGAGCCACTTCCTGCTTTTAACACTCATAACAAGCAGGGATTAGGACTAGGGATAATTAACACCACTGGATTGCTTAGGCAACTTAAAGTCAGAAGAATCACGTGTTTAAGGATCAATCAACTAGAAAGCGCTAGAGCCAGGCTTTGAACCCAGCACACCATTGCCTACAAGCAGCCTCTACAAAGGCTCTGCCATCCAGAAATAGAAGACAAGGACCCTGGTGTGGGAGACTCAGAAGGAGGGTGGCAAAGGAGGATACGTATGAGAAAATCAGACAAACCTGAGCTCTTTGGCTACTGAGCCCCAGGCTGCGCTGGTGTTTGGTTGTGCCCATTGGGCAGCCTCCTGTGTGCTGGGTTGCTGGTTCCTCTGAGTCACATGCATAAGACCTATTTTTAGCTGGGCCCTGATGGAACACGTTTGCCGGGTGTTGCCAAATCACAAGAACAATCACACCCTGGTAGCAAGCGGGCTCTTCCTGGCTCACAGACCACTCAGTGCTGTCTGGGCATGCACCCAGCCTCCGCCCAGTTGCCAGTCCCACCTGGACCAGCCCTAGGTGGAGAGAAACAGCCTGCAGGGGAATCCAGGCCATGGTACATTGGATCTCTGGTCACAGAATGCAATTGCTGAAGAGACTCACAAGCAGGAGGTCCAGTAGTACATTACAACATCCCTGGCTACCAGCCAGTCAGCAGGAAGGTGGGGTTCAGAACCCGGGTTTCCTGAGTCCTTCCCCTATTCACTGCAGGCAAGCTCTGGGTTTTTCAGTGTTTATTTGTGTTCTGTCTACTTCTAACGGCAATAAAGAACCTGCCCCAGCGATGCCAACGCCCACAGTAACAGAAGGATCTTCCTGGGAGGTATTTGCAGATGGAGGCAGCAAATCAGAGGCAGTTTTCTGTGGGAAGAAACTGATCCAGTGAAACTTTGAAAATTTGGGCTACTGGTCACAATTGCAGGTAGCATCTTTATACTGTTATTTTTACCCACGTGTTAGAAGTTTCTCTTTTATTATCTAGTGTTTCATCCTAATTTATCCAAAAAGGAAAATGGAGCAGAGATGTGTTATTATTATTAATTATAAATATATTAAAGATGATAATTATGTCTATATTTGGTGTTTGGCTCTGTGTTTTACATTCATTATCTCCTTTAACTTCATGTGGTGGGTAATGTTGGCCCCATTTTACTAATGGAGAAAATAAGTTTCTCAGAGAATTGTAAGTCAGTCACGCAAGGGGACATAGGCAGAAAGTGTCAGAGGCAGGGCTGGAAACTCCAAAGTATGTGAGCTTGACCACAGGCACTCTGGCTAGAAAAAAAGGAGACTGGCTTAGAAAGCAGGGGGCAAAAAGATGGACAAATAGATGAGAGTTGTGGCTTCTCTACACAGCCAGTGAATTAGGATTACTTCATAGAATGAAGGACAAGCAAGACACATCTGCGGGCAAAGTAGAGCTGTCAGGAAGAAGCTACAGGGATACAGGGATCACTCAGTAGAAGAAGTGGGAGTTTCTGGCTCACAGAGCTGGTGGCCCCCACCTGGAGGCATCCTGGCTGGAGCTAAGGAGGCTCATTTACAACAGAAGAAGGCGTGACCAGTCCCTTCCAGAGCCAGAGTCTATGGTCTATAAGCAGGCAAGTGTCTTGAGGGCAAGCACCACAATCCACGTTTCTCTACCCTGGCACCACATAGGTTTGTGCAGCAGGGCAGAAACATCATTTGCTAAGCATGTCTTCCCCTGCGATGCAGTCAATTCCTCAGTTGCCTTGGATGACTGTTTCGAGAATTAAAGTAGTAATTTAATAAAGGTGCTTACAACTCTACTCTACTCCAGCTGTAGCTGAAGAACCCAAACTTAAATCACTGCTCAAGGTGACAGAATTGGCAAGTGGTGCAGCTGGGATTTGAACCCCAGCTCATGTGCTGTTGTCCTCTCTGCTGTTTGGTGGGAGCAATGCTGGTGGGTCATAAGGAGAAGTAGCAGAAGATACTTTCCTAAGGTGCATTATGCCAACACCTACCATTTGAGTCAATCAGCCTTAAATTTATGGGTCATCTTACAATCTAGACACACTACTAAGCTTAGCTCCTTGCTAAATTGCAAATTAGCCCGAGGACCCCTAATTTCCTACAGACATGATTTGTTTGACCTGCATATTGTTGGCTGATACAGAGCTATAAAGATTTTATTTAATTACAAAAATTAGAAATTGTGAGAGTTCATTTAAAAACCCAGACATACAACAGTTAAGTGTGCTCAGCAGCCTGAGCATATTCTCATCTCTCCCAATGACTTTTTGCATTGGCCTGCTTTACACATTATGTATACATGACAGTCCATCAAGAACAGGACAATAGAGCACATGCCTCCTGAGATTCTTTTGATTCGATGAATTTTTTCAAAGGGCAAGGTCTTAGTCATCCTTCCAGGCTGCCTCCCTCTTCTAACAACTTGCATTGCTCCAGCATGAGACACGGAGATAACTCAGCCCTGTGGGTATGGTCTACCCAGCACAAAGTGCTGCAGGATGGCCAGCTCGCATCTCCTGGAGCCTCCCAGCAAAGTGTCTTCTGTTGGACCAGCTGAACAGATTGATGAAGACATCCATCAATCTCTCCTAATCTTCCTGGTGATGAGGAAGTCCACTGTGTTCCACAACACTGGTCTGTCCCTGGTCTCATGGGGCATTTGAGTTGCTTCCTCCCCAAGGTTACCTCACTCTTCAGCCATAAAAGCATGCTTGCTCTGTCCCTGGCAGTTACAGCAAGTTTCTTCTCCTCTATTACACAGTCAAGTTCATCTTGTCCAAGTATTGCCAACCACAGTGACATTCAACTTGCACAGTTGCAAACAGTGATGCTCAGTTAACTTCAGACACTGCCCAAAGCCCTACATTAAACAGCTCCATGGCTCAGTGGCCCAGTGGACACCTCCTCTGTGCCCCAGTGTGTGCTCCTGCTGCTTTCTCAAGGGCAGGTGAGTCTACCTGGCCTTGAGTACCAGGTGGTCTTATTCCAGCTTCATGAAGCCTCTGTGAGTTCAACATTCAAATGTCCATTTCACAGAGAGAACTGGGGCCAGCCAAGGTTAACATCTTAGCCAGCAACAGGCTATCTAATCCACAAATTCCATTCTCTTTTTAGTCCAAGAAATACGAAAACTCTGGTCTGTACCACAGAAGGAAGAACGTCAGGAATCCTCTGGAGCAGGAGGTAGAGCACGAGAGGTGCTGTGTGCTGGAGGGTCAGGGAGGCTCTGTGGAGCAGGGAAACTGGACCAGACCCTTGGGAAGTGAGGCAGCTTGCACAGGGGTAAACATTACCTTAATAGAGAATTCGTGATTCACAATTAACTGAGCAGCCAACAGAGAAGCTTGGGAGTTCCCGTTTATGAAAATTGTTATTGTTTGATTGATTTTTAACCCCTTATCCTGAGAGTCCCATTAGTCATGCTGTACATGGGTATTAGACAAAACTGGCAGGGGTTGGTTGATTAGGAATGAAGTCAGGGTGATTTAATATTCTATATTTATAATATCTATGTACAAGGAAAAAAATCTCTGTTTTATTCAGTTGCCTATAATCAGGAATTAGCTGGAGGCAAAAACACACAGGATTCCACACCTCACCTGCCCCAGCAGGCCCAGTGATGTCTCAGTTCCTCTCCTCTGCCGCTCTGTGAGCTCAGGGAAGTGTGCAGCCAGGTGACGTTCACGCCTAGTTTCAAAGTCATGCTGCAGCGTAACTGCAGTGTGACTTCAGACAGGTAAATTGCCCAACTTCCCCTCATAGAGATGGCAGGAGGACTAATGTACATGGGGGGCAGAGCAGCAAAATGCTTACACTTCGGCACTGCTGAAGTGGGGGGAAGAAGGCGAGACGTGGTCATTTAGAGACGAAGTCAAGTTCCTTGTCTCCCAGAGCTGGTAGGCCCCGTGGGTTCTCGGCTGTGTACAGAATCTGAACCGCTGGCCCCAGCTGATGAGTTATGGTCTCAGGTGGTCCGGTCTTTGGTGGACTCGCTTCCCTGTGCTGTTCTGTACTTTGAGATTGCAAAACTCCTTCCCAGGAGTTGGCAGCATCCACGGTTTCTGGGCATTGCCTGCCTCTCCCTTTATTGGACAGCTATTTATTGAGAGCATTTCTGTGATAGGCACTGTGGAAAGAGCTTTCTGTGTTTTTGCTACTCTTTGTTTGTTTTGGGGAGTTGGTACATATACATGTTACATCTTTATCATGTGTACCCTTCTTTCCCCATCATGATCCCTTCTCCCCCAGATCACCTTGTCATTTTCACAGTTTTCCTACCTAGTTCCTACCATCTCCCTTTTATTCACTTGGTAAGTTATATTTTAGATTTCTCAAATGAGAAACCATATGATATTTATTTAGCATTCTGTCTCAAGATCCATCTATTTTCCTATAAATAATTCAAATTTATCTTTATGGGTGAGTAGTACTCCACTAGGTATACATACCACATTTCTTCATCTATTCATCTGCTAAAGGGCATATAGGCTGCTTCCATAATTTAACCTTTATGAATTGTGCTGCTATGAATGTGGGTGTGTATGTGTCTCTGCAATATGATAACTTTAACTCTTTCAGGAAGATACCCAGAAGAATTATAACTGGGTCAAGTACATCTTCTATTTTTAGGGTTTTGAGGAATCTCTATAGTGATTTCCATAGTGGTTACACTAGATTACATTCCCACCAGCAACACAGAAGTGTTTCTTTTCCCCCACAACCTTTATCATGTTTTAAGTTCTTAATGATAGCCTTTCTTGCTGAGTAAATTGGAATCTCAGTATTGTTTTGCTTTGCATAGAAATTAACCTAATGAAGGAAGTCAAAGACCTCTATGACAAAACCTGCAGCACTCTGAAAAAAGAGATTGAAGGGAGCACATAAAATTTGATTTTACCTTTTACTATAGAATAAAAAAAATAAAATGGAAAGACATCCCCTCTTCTTGGATAGGCAAGACCAATATTACCAAGAATGATACATAGATCTAAAGTAAAATACCCATTAAAATACCAATGGCATTATTCCCAGAAATAATTCTAAAATTTGTATGGAACCGGAAGACACCTATAAAAGTAATTCTAAAATTTCTATGGAACCAGAAGAGACCTAGTAATTCTAAAACTTAGTGGAACCAGAAGAGACCTAGAATAACCAAAGCAATCCTCAGCAACAAAACCAAATCAAGAGGTTTCACAATCCCAGACTTCAAGTCATATTACAAAACTATCATAATAAAAATAGCATAGTACT